ATCAATCAACGGTTAAATAATTTAAACACGTTTGTAACTAAAAATATCCTTTCTAAATAAATGCCTCACGATTTCGTTACATAACAGAGAAGAAAGATGTATAATTCTATATGAAAGAAAGAGATGAAGGTATGTTTCAAAGCTAGTAGGTAATGTTTTTCAAAGAAATAAAGAATATATCATGTCAAGATAAAAAAGATAAAATGAAAATGACAAAGGGTTTTGTGTCATACTAAATGTATTAAAGGTTGGTTTTCACGGGCAAAAACATCTCAAGTCACGATTGTTTTTGTATTGAACAAGCATGTTTTTAAACAGTAAAAGTCAATGTCATTTAATAACAAAACAATAACAAACAGTAAGATGACACCATATTTTAGACAGTGATAGAAAAAACCAGCAATATAAAGTATTGTTGCTCGCGACTTCGTCCTTCGTTCGGACGGAGTCGCGGGCGGAATCTAGTGTAGAAATAAATGTATTGACACTCAGTATTAACGTAGTTTTTTAATAGTGAAAGAATTTTCTAAATCGGTCTAGTAGTTTTTGAGTTTTTTCGTTACACATGAAAATATTAACAGTGGTAGAGCCCCTTTTAACATCTTCGCACGAATGGGCCGGCTTGCCCGGTGTAATACCACTACCACACAGAAAACAGGCGTGAAGTGGAAGCAATTCCGCCTTTCGTCTGATGAGTGTGGTGCCGGAGGTTTAATTTTAGTTTCCACCCTTTCCACCCTTTTCTTAAGAGGAATGAATGGGAAGGAAAAGTGGATTTGACGGTGGAAGAGACGCATAGAAAGTGGAAATGTCCTCTTTATGTGCGTCTACTTCGTCAATGAACGCATCTGCAATTGCGGATGTTTATGGGCAGCAGACTCTTTCCATTTCGGTGGTTTCAGGCTGCTTGCTCGTTTGCCACCTTATATTATAAAAAAAAAGAAATCTATCTCCTTTATAAGACAGATAGTCGGTACCATATTAATATTAATGCATACATAAATTAAAAACAAAGATTTTAAGTATAAATCGTATGAAATATCGATGTTATTTATAACGAATCATCAAACACGATATTTGTGCATCCAGTCACAATTTATACGTGTGCAGTACAAGAAACTAAATAAGATATATGTAAAATGAACCTTATTTGTATTTGATAAGGTTTGTATTTTTACGTTTAATACAACGTGGGTCGATAATCTGCGCCCACGCAATACCGACAGCGCGCTTTTGTTTACGCGTGCGTTCTAAATTTAAAAATAATTCAGTCGTGTTCTGACGCTCGTCGTGTGCAGACGTGTTTGTGCGTCTGATTAAATCGTTATTTACAGTGTTTTGCGCAGTTTGTTGTTAATAATGGAGTCGAAGAGTTTAGTGGGTGATAATGTTGATGGTAAATATTTTTGTGTTTGTGACTCATTGTGTTGTTTATTTGTTAATGTACTGGCTTGTTTACATTGGTTTATCTAGATTGTTTGGTGTTTGTATCTTTAATGCAGTGTTTTTGTTTAATTAGCTTTCGCCCGCGACTCCGTCTGCGTGGAATTAAAAAAAAACACTAATGTGCGTAGCCTATGTGTTCTTCCAGACTATCCTCTACACCTACACCAAATTTCATCGAAATCCGTTCAGCCGTTTAGGTTACAAACTCTAACAATCATCCATCCATCCATCCATCTAAACTTTCACATTTATAATATTAGTATGATTAGCTTTTGTCCACGGCTTCGCCCGTTTTAAAGTGCAATACTTACGTTCACCCCTTTCAATCTACCAAAAGTATTAACTTAGTAGTATTCTACGTAATAATAGAAATCTACTGATGCCAGATTCCAATTCTGCCCGGTAGCTTGTGAGCTGATTTTTCGGTTACCCTTATTGTTTGTGTTCGCGATATCTTCTAAACTATTAGTCCAATTTAAATACTGTAAAGGACAATTTTATTCTACATTAAATTCTCCTGATAACAAACGCATTTATTTGGATAAGGATTAATAATGAAACCAATAAAAGAAAGGCGTATATATGTGCCCGTGGGCTTTTACTTCTTACTTTAGGTTTGTACCGATCTTGATGTAGAGCATAGTGTGGAAGAACATATAGGGTATTTAATCATTCTTTTAATTCCACGGGCAACTGTTTGTAACTCTAAAAGAATTTGTCTCTTGTTTATTTAGAGAACAGAAGCTTGCGTACACTTTTGATTATACTATCACCCAACTTTTGTGCGATTGTCGATTGTTTCGCAGTCAACTGTTTAGTCGCACAACAGTGGTAGTGCCCGCGTTACCATCTTAGCACTGCAGGGCCGGCACGCCCGGTGTAATACCACGACCACATACAAGACAGGCGTGAAATGGAAGCAATTCCGTGTTTCGTCTGATGAGTGTGGTGCCGGAGACCTAATTTAAGTCCCTTTCTCTTTACCATCCTTTTCTTATGTGGAGAGGATGGGAAGGGGAAGTGGATTTGACGGTGGAGGAGAAGCATAGGAAGGGGAAATATCCTCTTTATGTGCGTCTCCTCCTCTGTCGGATACGGGTAGGCAACGCATCTGCAATTGCGGATGTCTATGGGCAGTCGCTTCGCCATTTTGGCGGATTCAGGTGGCCGCTTGCTCGTTTGCCACTTTATGTTATAAAAAAAAAAACAACTAATCGAGTAGTGTACCTCCATATAAGGTCATAGGAATCAAAGCGAGACTAAACAGTTGTTTGACAGTTTAGTCAAAGGTGTGCACTTAATATGAAGGTTTTTGTTTAGTTTTTTAGGGTGATTTCACATTTAAATGTTTATTTCTAATGTTATCTCGTGTGTATAAATCCGGTTTTTTAATTGAGAAGTTTTGTCATGTGATTTTTAAATGTATACGATAAAATAATTTTTATTAAAAACTTGTATATCTATACTGGTATAATAAAGCGTAAACACACACTTTGTTGCCTAAGATGTCAGCAATTACAGCATGTTTTCGAATAACTTTTTTTAATAAAAAGCCCTACACTTGCGTCAAGCTTTAGGCTATTTTCACGCCGTTAAACTTAGGGGTAAATATTTTGGATAAAAACCCTAATCTGGGAAAGAGATCATAAGTTATTGCCAACATTAAGGAAGCAAGATTACTAAGGTTTGTCTATGTTATGTCATTTTGACATTTGCAATTGATAATTTGACAAATGTGAACAATAAAATGATATTTTTATAATTTTATGCGGATGAAGTTGCTTGAGAACAGCCAGTTTGAATATATTATATAAGTGTTTCTGTTAAGTTGTATTCCGTTTTTAACTAGTTTTTTTTAATGTTTTTATTGTAGTTTGAATAAAATTCGAGCATTTAATTCTTGTTTGTGGTCATCTTTCTAAGGAATTTGAACTATAAATAGCTTTGAGGTCGTAGTTTTTTTGTGCGTTTAAAACCGGTTAAAGATCTTAAAGGGTACTGTTGGACTTTGAGAAGGAATTGAAAGTTTAAAATATTTAAAACGATATCCTTTTTAACCCTTTATTAGTGAAAATATAGCCTACTAGATGTTGCCCGAGACTTCGTCCGCGTGGTATCAGAAAACATACGAACTATATAAATAACAAAAAGCTACGTAGCCTGGACATTTCTCGGGGCTGAACCTTATCCCATGTGTACTCCAGAGTTTTATATCTGTGCCAAATTTCAATAAGATATGTTGAACCGTTGAAGAATGATCGAGTAAACAATTAAAAACCAAATTGATGAACCCCACGGGAACCGTAACTATTCCCGGAATAAAAAGTAGCCTATGTGTTCTTCCAGACTATGCTCTAAACCTGTGCCAAATTTCATGGAGATCCGTTCAGCCGTTTAGGCTGCAAACGCTAAGGGGAGGAGGGAGGAGGCTAAGGGGAGGTATTAGAGATAATTATGACGATCCAGTTAAATAAATGTTTGAGGTCTACCTACCCCTCTGGGTTGCGGGCGTGATTGTATTATTGTACTAATAAGTTAGTCTAAGTTATAATACTTATCTGCACATCTGGTAATTATAAGTGTAATTTATTACTTGGCATGCATTTGTATGGTTCATACATTTGTTATGTCACCGTAAAATTGGTAATGTAGTCATTTTAAATTATTTCTAACTTAATTAATGTAACTTTTTTTTAATATTATGTTTAAGTTTGATGTTGATTTGAAATAAATTTAGTCTTTTTTTACATTTTTTTTAGAATGTATGAATATTTCTCTTTGAAATTTGTAGTTAAACATATGTTTAATATTATTTCACAACAAATTTTCTTTAAGTATTGTAGAACTAGTCATATTTGAAATTGACGAATTTCTAAATTTGTTAGCGACAGATACGAATCGCACCGGAAATCCGTCGTGTTGTCTCGGTTGGTTTATTTTATAACATAGTTGTATGAGATCACATAACCAGACCACATATGTTTAGGTGTGGTCAGAGACAAAAGATTTTGTCCTAGGAATTCATAATTTATAGTTACTAATACTCATGTGGTTACTTGACGGTTACAACCTAGGAATCTTACTTTTTTTTATAACATAAGGTGGTGAACAAGCGGCTACATGAATCCGCCGATTTGGCGAAGCCACCGCTGCCTATAAACATTCGCAATAGCGGATGCGTTGCCTACCCTCAATTGACGAAGGAGACGCACATAACCAGGATATTTCCCCTTCTTATGCATCTCCTCCATCGTCAAATCCACGTTCCTTTCCCATCCTTTTCTTATAAGAGAAAGGGTGGGAAAGAAAAAGGACTAAAGTTAGGCCTCCGCCACCACATTCGTCAGACGAAACGCAGAATTGCTCCCACTTCACGCCTGTATTCTGTGTGGTCGTGGTATTGCACCGGGCGAGTCGACCCATTCGTGCGAAGATGTTAAAGCGGGCTCTACCACTGTAAAACCACTCTCTTTCTCTGACAGAATCCTGGGTTTAATTTAACAACAGAATTTATGGAATGATGAATCTTATGTCTGTCTCTCTTCCTCTTACAGAATCCTGGGTTGAATTGAACTCCGGCGGTGGATTGGCCGCGATGGAGAATGAATATATCCGTCTGTTGAGAGAAGCGCAGAGAGAGAGTCGAGACTCTTCAGTGCGTCATTCGAGAGCTTCCAGTGTTAAGGGCAGGTGAGATACTATACGGTTATGTGCGCCTGGTACTTTGCTGAGAAAATTACTGTCCAATAACTTGTTTAAAAACATGTTTATGTTCTAAAGGCCTGTCCCATCACTGGCTGATAGAGTCTCAGATAGTTCAGTAATGACGTTACTGTCAGATTAGGAAACAAAATCCGATATTTCATGACATATTCTTAAACGTTGGATAGTTATCAGACAATTTACAATTTGGTGGGACAGGCACTAAAAACACTTTTTTAAAACTATTTTTTTACTAAAATGCAGAGTTTAGATGGATGGATGTTTGTTAGAGTTTGTAGTCTAAACTGCTGAACGGATTTCGATGAAATGTGGTATAGGATAGTTTGGAATAACAAATAGGTTCACTTTTCTTTTTTTACTCCATGTGGACGGAGTCGCGGGCATTAGCTATTCATACCAATATTATAAATGCGAAAGTTACGATGGATGGATGTATGTTAGCGTTTGTAGCCTAAACGGCTGAACGGATCTCCATGAAATTTAGCACAGGTTTAGAGCATTGTCTGGAAGAACACATAGGCTATTTGCTTTTGTTTTTTTTGATTCCATGCGGACGGAGTCGCGGGCATTAGCTAGTGTTCTCTAATATCCATGATAGTAGGGGAAGTTTACAACAGGCACGAAACAGTAGAAGGCTGCGAAACAATCGACAAACACAACAGTTGTGCGATTGTTTTGTCAAAGGTGTACACAAGCTCCTTTGTAACTAAATATTCTTAACAAAAAACCTATTGTAACATATCAAGTGATGAAACCTTGACCGTAAAATCTGGAACCGTAACGATGTTAGGGTTGTCAGTTGCGTTAAAATTGTAAAAATAATAGTAACTAGCTATTACTCCCGACTTCGTCCGCGTCGTATTATAAAATAATAAAAAACACAGCCTATGTTAATGTAATGCCAGTGTAGCTTTCTAATAATGAAAGCTTTTTTGAAATTGTCCCAGTAGTTTTTGAGTTATTTCAATACATACAAAAATACAAATCTTTCCTCTTTATCTATACTATTATAATGAAGCGTAAACACACACTACTTTGTTGCCTAAGATGTCAGAAATTACAGCATATTTTTGAATAATTCTTTCTTTAGTAAAAAGCCCTACACTTACGTCACGCTTAAGGCTATATATTTTCACGCCATTAAACTTGGGGGTAAATATTTTGGATAAAAAACCCTAATGTAGGAAAGAGACCATAAGTTGCTGCCAACATCAAGTAAATAATTTGACAAATGTAAACAATAAAACAATTTCATGCGGATGAAGCCGCACGGGAACAGCTAGTAATATTATAGTATAGACAAGCAGTTGCCCGCGATTTAGTCCACGAAATATTAAGATTAAAAAGTATCCTATAATATGGCCGTCTATGTCAGCTACCCTCCAGTGAAAGTCCGGTCAATATCGGCCCAGACGTTTCGGAGATTGCAACAAACGCGGCTTGAGGACAGACAGACAAAATATTTTTAAATGCGATTTTCGTTATCAGCAATGCAAATATATCATCCCGAAATCTGGAATTTTTCTCTTGATATTAAGACACTCCAATTTTATTACTTGTATATATCGATGTGTATGAAATAGTAGAGAAATACTCAATATTAGCTGTTGCTCGCGACTTTGTCCGCGTGAGATTAAAAAAATAAAGCCTATTTTACTCACATATAAATTACCTTTCTAACGTTGAAAGAATTTTAAAAATCATCCCAGTAGTTTTTGAGTTAAATTCATACAAAAATACAAATCTTTTCTCTTTATAATATTAGTATAGAGAGGTTTCTGAAGTAAATACACTTTCCTATTAATATAAAGTGCGAAGTCGGGGCGTATCGCTAGTAGGGTTCTTACCCGTCTAAAGTATGTTTAATAGTTTGTGATAACCCTGAGATGACCTTGGTAATATTATATTCAAGTAACTGATATTATATGGACCAGTGGTCAAAGTGTGGTGGTTACTATATCGTACTAATATTATAAATGCGAAAGTTTAGATGGATGTTTGTTAGAGTTTGTAGTCTAAACTGCTGAACGGATTTAAATAAAATTTGGTATAGATGTAGAGGATAGTCTGGAAGAACACATAGGCTACTTATGTTTGTTTCTTTTAATACCATACGGACGGAGTCGCGGGCGAAAGCTAGTAATGTTATAAATGCGAAAGTTTAGATGGATGTTTGTTAGAGTTTGTAGCCTAAACTGCTGAACGGATTTCAATGTAATTTGGTACAGATGTAGAGGATAGTCTGGAAGAACATATAGGCTACATACTTTTGTTTTTTAATTCGCGCGGATGGAGTCGCCGGCGTTAGTTAGTTAACTATTTATCTTATGCCTCCTTTGAATATTTATCGAGTTTGTCTCATGTTTTAGTGGTCGGGTTGTAATGTTTTCGTTTATTGTTCACAGCCCGAAGTCACCTCCGAACAGTCCCAACTTGGAACCGTCTACGGAAGACGAGCTAAAGGGTGTTTATATTAACTGCTGGAGGGTAAGTTTTCACAAAAAAATGTTAAAAAACATATAGATGAACAAAATTATTTTCACCGGTGTTGAGTGCAAAATACAACCTCTTTGGCCGACAAGCAGTATTTATAAGGCCAAAGAGGCTGCATACTGGCCACCAAGGCAATAATCGTTTGTAAAAGAAAATATATAAAAGAAGAAGTCAAGATGTGATCGACATAGTTTTGAGTTTTTTAAAAATTTGTGTAATAAGTTAAACAACCGGTACTTTCTCTGAAAGGTACTATATCAGTCAAGTATAGTGCCGGCTTGTATTGACGGAATAAAATCTATACTATTATAATAAAGCGTAAACACACTTCTTTGTTGCCTAAGATGTCAGCAATTACTGCATATTTTTGAATAATTATTTTTTTAATAAAAAGCCCTACACTTACACGCTTTAGGCTATATATTATCACGCCAACTTAGGGATTAATGTGAGAAAGGGATAAAAATTTCAAGCGGTCAACATGTCAAAGGGTATTGTGAAAAAAAATAATGGTTTAAAAAAATATACAGACGAATTTAGACCCTCCTCCTTTTGGGAAGTCAGTTAAAAAGATGGAGCTTATAATTTAGTAAAATACTAGCTGTTCCCGTGTGGCTTCATCCGCATAAAATTATGGAAATGTATTTTATTGTTGACATCTGTCAAATTATCAATAGCAAATGTCAAAATGACATGATGACAATATTGCTTCCTTGATGTTGGCAGTAACTTATGGTCTCTTTCCCACATTAGGGTTTTTATCCAAAATATTTACCCCCAAAGTTTAATTGCGTGAAAATATATAGCCTAAAGCGTGACGAAGTGTAGGGCTTTTTATTAAAAAAAAGAATTATCCAAAAATATGCTGTGATTGCTGACATCTTAGGCAACAAAGTGTGTGTTTACGCTTTATTATAATAGTATAGATTTATTTATTGTTTATTTCAGGATGAGTCGAACGATTGGGTTTGGGAATGGAGTAGCAGACCGGATCAATTGCCACCGAAGTGAGTTGAAATTAAGAGTGTTATGGAACATCAGAGTTCGGCTTGTTCCGTTTTCCTAACTAAATTTACAGTGGTAGTGCCCGCTTTAACATGTTAGCACTGCAGAGCTCGCCCCCAATACCACGACCACACAGACAGCCGTGAAGTGGAAGCAATTCCGTGTACAGTCTGATGAGTGTGGTGCAGGAGGCCTCATTTAAGTCCCTTTCTCTTTACCACACTTTCCTTATAACGAGAGGATGGGAAGGGAAGTGGATTTGACGGTAGAGGAGATACATAATAAGAGGAGATATCCTCTTTATGTGCGTCTCCTCTGTCGGATAATGGTAGGCAACGCATCTGCAATTGTGGATGTCTATGGGCAGTCGCTTCGCCATTTTGGCGGATTCAGGTGGCCGCTTGCTCGTTTGCCACCTTAGGTAATAAAAAAAACCTAACCAGGTTAGGTGATTTTTTTCCGTTTTCGTAACCAGTCAAGTTTTTTTTGCTAGGGTGGGTACACTTTGCTAGTTTTCATGTCCTCAATCCTATGTTAAAACGATCAGCTATCGATTTCAGGGCCAAATAAATAGCGTAATTTATCGTATTATTAACGGCTGTTGCCCGCGACTTCGTCCGCGTGGTATTAGAAAACATACGAACTATATAAATTACAAAAAGCTACGTATCCCGGGAACCGGACATTTCTCTGAGATGAAGCTTATCCCATGTGTACTCCACACTTTGTTTTATATCTGTGACAAATTTCAATAAGATATGTTGAATCGTTGCAGAATGATCGAGTAAATATTAGAAAACTAAATTAATGAATCCCACGGGAACCGTAACTATTCCCGGGATAAAAAATAGTCTATGTGTTCCAGACTATGCTCTAAACCTGTGCCAAATTACATGGAGATCCGTTCTTAATTTTTTATACCATAAGGCGATAAACGACCAAAGTTGGGCCTGCGGCATACAAAATTAATATTTATACAATTAATAATAATAATAGCAATAGATGGTCCGGAAAATAGAAAAGTATACACACCCTATCGGTTACGAAAACGGAAAAAAAAATACCTAACTGGTTAAGCAAACGGAATAAGCCTTTACTTATATCCTTGAAGAATAAAAATATAAAAAAACATAACTCCTGAAGTAACTTGAATACTATAGTTTTTCGTAAAAAAATAAAGCTTTGATAGTATTCTCTTAGGATTTTTTTTAGTACTTTCCACCTAGACCATAGGTTGTATTGAAAAACATTTCCAGGGACTGGCGCTTCAAGCATCCTCAAAGTGCACGAGGTCCACCTTCAGCCACCTCCTCCATCGAGGTCTTGGAGCAGCAGATGGTGGTGCCAGTGATGCAACAGGTAAAGTGTCTATTTAGTAGACTTTACGTGAATCGAATACATACAAATACACGAATCTTTCCTCTTTTTATTAGAATAGATAATTTTTTTATTTATTTATTATTAATGTGTTTTAGAGTCACTGTCTGTCTGTGCGTCGTACTTGCCTGTTCAGTCGCGGCGCGGTCGCGGCTGTCCTTGTCACTAATATAGTGTCGCTGTTACTCGGCGCGGGGATAGGGTGAGTAGAATAATAATAAACACTAAACGATAATAGCAACACTACACGAAAACAGCAACACTACACAACAACAGCAACACTACACAACAACAGCAACACTACACGAAAACAGCAACACTACACGAAAACAGCAACACTACACGAAAACAGCAACACTACACAACAACAGCAACACTACACGAAAACAGTAACACTACATGAAAACAGCAACACTACACGAAAACAGCAACACTACACGAAAACAGCAACACTACACGAAAACAGCAACACTACACAACAACAGCAACACTACACAACAACAGCAACACTACACAATAACACCAACACTACACAATAACACCAACACTACACGAAAACAGTAACACTACACGAAAACAGCAACACTACACGAAAACAGCAACACTACACGAAAACAGTAACACTACACAATAACACCAACACTACACAATAACACCAACACTACACGAAAACAGTAACACTACACGAAAACAGCAAAACTACACAACAACAGCAACACTACACGAAAACAGCAACACTACACGAAAACAGCAACACTACACAACAACAGCAACACTACACAACAACAGCAACACTACACAATAACACCAACACTACACAATAACACCAACACTACACAATAACACCAACACTACACAATAACAACACGGGGAGTAAGGGGTAGGTTCTAACCACAATATTTACTCAAGCCAACTTCACCTGCACGTGCCAGAGATATAACACAATTATCGAGATCTGTTCAGTTTAGGATACGAACAAACAAACATCTAAACTTTTTTTACTTATATTAGTAAGATTTTTAATTACTGTTTTTTTTATTCTAGTATGTGGCTCAGCAAGAGAGGTATTCTTCCTCATAGACTTATAATACTGAATTAGAGTTCAAAAGACTGAAAGTTTGGGGAAAATGATGTCCCAAAGTGATTGCACCTTACGGCTAAAGATAACTGGAATCGCTTACAGGACTCTATTAGAGCACACCTTTGACTAAACTATCGCACAACTAAATTATCGCATGACAGTTGTGTGATAGTTTTGTCAATCCAACTGTTTAGTTGTATAACATCGAGTAGTATAACCTCTATGCTACGAATCAAAGCGAGCCTATACAGTTGTGCGATAGTTTAGTCATCCAACTGTTTAGTTGCACAACATCGAGTATTGTACCTCTATGCTACGAATCAAAGCGAGACTAAACAGTTGTGCGATAGTTTGGTCAATCCAACTGTTTAGTTGCATAACATCGAGTAGTGTAACCTCTATATAAGCTAAGAATCAAAACGAGACTAAACGGTTGTGCGATAGTTTAGTCATCCAACTGTTTAGTTGCACAACATCGAGTAGTGTAACCTCTATGCTACGAATCAAAGCAAGACTAAACAGTTGTGCGATAGTTGAGTCAAAGGTGTACTCTTAGATAAGAAACTCAATATTATTGTATCGAATATAATATTACTAAGATTTATTTACAAATGTAACAGTCGAAATCAATATTGATATATTTTTATTAATTTGTATGAAGAAATAAGCGTAATAAACAAAAAAAATAAAAAAAAACCCGCCAAACAAACAAAATACACCAAAAATATACTCGAAAATAAAAAAAAAAGTTTTAGAATTGGACAAAACTCTTTTGTCAATCGGTTAAAAAATCAATCGCTTAATAATGCGTTTTTTAAAATTTATTGTTTAAAATTAAAAAATAAAAAAAAAAACAAGATGCAATATTGATTTCGGCTTTTGGTTTTATGTTAGTCATTTATAGTCTATGCCATATATCTATTGGTTTCTAATGTTTATGGAAAAAAAATATGCATCAAATGTGATATGGCGTGATAGAATTTAGTTTATTTATAATATTTATATATAGATATGAAATTATATTGCACAATAATAAAGTACAATTTCATAAAACACAATAAAACTTAAATAACTAAGTGACTAAAAAACCCATCTTTATATTTTTATGACTTAAAAATCAAATATATTTGTGGCTGAATTAATGTTACCTTTGTCTTTAAAAATGTTTTAAATTGTCTATGACTGAAATCGTTAAAAAATCTTCCTGAGTTGATCTAATCTTTGCCTAAAAAAATTAAATTTGTCTGTTTTTATTCTTTGAATTGTCTATGGTTGGATTGTTCTTTGCCCAAAAAAAATCAATCTGTCACTTTGTTATTGGCGGTTTTTGTGTGCACTGAAAATTTTCTAGCCGTTAAGGATTACGATCGTCTTTAGATTTAGTTTTGATATAAATAATTAGAAATAATCTTGTTTATTTGAATATGATGTTATATAGAAAAAAATATATTTCTACAAATAAATCGGTTTCTTATTACATAAAAGTTTTGATTCTTAAATCCAAGTAAACAAAATTTATTATGGCTTCAATATTTAAAAAAACTTAAGTAGAATCAACAGTAGAAAAAAAACGTATTATATTATATTAAAATTTCCCAACCGTCACCCCGCTCTGTCCCCATGTGGGGACAAATGAGAATAAAAGTCTCACCCATCCCACCTTTTACGACGAGGAGACGGTTGGAACTTTTCATAACGGTTCTTGTCACCTTATTGGTGATAGTGGAACGGATGGAACTTTATTCTCACCTGTCCCTACGAGAGGACAGAGCGGGGTGACGGTTGGGAATAATCCAAAATAATTAAAAAAAAAAGGAAATATCGTATTCAAATAATACAAGACGTAGTTTTTTGTATATCAACAATTTTATAGCATTTGGGCACTAGCTTTTGTAGTTTTCAGAATATAAAAATTGCTCAAATTAACTTCCGAATTGAGTTTAAATAATTGAACGCACCTTTAGCGATGACATTTTATCTGTCATTTTTAGATGACGTTTAAATACTTTTAACCTCTAAAAAATAGAAAACAGTTTTAATTGTAGTTTAAAACAGTCTTTTAAATATGTGAAAGAACTAAATAAAGTTACGATAATTATGGGAAACATTTTTTAACGGCTTTTTTAATTTCAAATATGGATAAAATGGCATTGCTTGGTGCAATCGTTATCGAAATACTTTTTCTACATTTACTGTCACTATTTTAATGTATATTTCAATATTTAATAAATAAAACAAAATGTCTTTAAAACTTGCAAAAAACTTACTACTTTTTAAAGAAATATGAATTTTTAAGTATTTAAATGTATAGTAGAACCTCGATAACTCAAAACCCGGTAACATAAAAACCTCTGTAACTTCAAAAAATATGTTCCCTTCCCATCAGAGCCCAAAACCTCTACAACATAGACCCTTGATAACTTAAAAACCTCTATAACTTCAAAAAATAATATGTTCCCTTCCCATCAGAGCCCAAAACCTCTACAAAGACCCTTGATAACTTAAAACCTCTATAACTTAAAGTATTTTGTTTCCCTTGGACTTTAACTTATCGAGGTTCTACTGTAAAATGTTTTTATACTTTCCAAATGTACGGAAATAGTTGAATTTTGAATATCCAAGGTCATATTTACTCTGTGCCTCATTTGTTTGAATATTAAAAAAAAAACAATAAATTCCAAAATATTTATTATAACCTAAAAATTTAAACATGCTAGGATTTAGTTGTTAAGTTTAATTTTGTTTATAATATCGGGTACGAGATGTGGAAGTTTGTTTTAAGTTGAATTCGCTAGATGTCACTTTTAGGCGGGAATCGCTTCGAAAATGACATTTCATTGTTTTTTTATGTTTTTAAAAGTGTAGATGATGTAACCTTGGTTGAGATTTTTTTTTAATTGTAATTAAAATGATTATTGTAATAAAAATATAAGTATTGAAATAAATATTTGAAACAAATGAGTTTTTTTTTTCCTTTAGATTATTTTCAGAAGCGATTTCTGTGACGTAAAATGTCGGAAGATGTCCTTTCTAGAAAATGTTCACCAAATTCTTTTTTATGTTATTTTCGTTTTGTTTGTAATATTAAATACATTATAGGCATCTTTAAATGTATGAGATAGAAGATTGACATCTCCGATATTGTTTTTTTCAATGTAACCATTTATTGTAAGGCTTTTAAGAATAAATACGCATTTTTTATCGAATCTTGTTTTATTTCAGAATTCAATTCTTCACAGATATGCATCACGATCTTCATAACGTTAGGTAAATTATGTACATAAAAAGTTAGAAAATCACTGGTACAGCTGTATTCGAACCTAAGACCTGTAGAATTACCTTGAACTTATCTACAACTAAGATAAATTTCTTCGTTGGAAAATATTTTTATCTAAACATTTCCGAACATATACTTTGGTGAGTCAAAATGGCGGGTGTACCATAGATAATTAAATTATACTTACTAAAAATTTACCTAAAATGTACTATTTAGTATCTCGCTAAAAAAAATAATACCTTCTCTAGAACGAAATTAAGTTACACCCGCCATTTTGACTCACACACTTTGCTATGAGAAAAGGGATCCCTTTTTTATCCGTAATTAGATATTATTTTACACCCAGACATAACCCTTGAAAGCCTTTTAACAGTGGTAGAGCCCGCTTAAACATTTTCGCACTGTAGGGCTCTCAGCAATACCACGACCACACAGAAAACAGACGTGAAGTGGATGCAATTCCGCGTTTTGTCTAATGAGTGTGGTACAGGCCTAATTTTAGTCCATTTCCCTTTTCTAAGAGGAAAGGATGGGAAGGAAAAGTGGATTTGACCGTAGAGGAGATACATAGGAAGGAGAAACGTCCTCTTTATGTGCGTCTCCGTCAATTAAGGGTAGGCAGCGCTGCAATTGCGGATGTTTATGTGCAGTCGCTTTCCATTTCAGTGGATTCAGGCCGCTTGCTCGTTTGCCACCTCATATTATAAAAAAAATACTGTCAATATATTTTTTTATAGTTTTGTCATTTTCTATGTTAAAGGTTTTTCATAACTTTAGAGTCATAAGCTTATCTCTATATAATGGTTACGAAATAAAACACAATATAACAAGATTTTTAATTTTTTTTTAATATTTTCTTCCATTACTTAATCCAACATTATATAAATAGTATTTCATATATACTATAAATACAAAATAACTTGAAATTTTCTGAAAGTTGCCATGTAAAAACTAAAACGACACCGAGCTACAAAAACTATGGAGAAATTATATTCATGGCAACACTAAAATGATACCGTACAAAAAATGGTCGATTTTAGGAAAAAAAACTTTTTTTTAGGTTAAATAAAAGATAGTTACACAATTCATAGGTTTTTTTAAGCCGGGAAATTGACGATTTCGTAAACAAATTCTAGTTTTGTAACAATGTTTGAAGAACTTTAAAATATATTGATTTTTGGTGATTACAGTAAAAAAAAAACATCCTGATACTTTTGGGGCAGCCAAAAGAATTGTTTATAGTTGAAATTCACTGAAATAAGAAATTAAAAAAATCTGCTATTACATGAAAAAAAAATAAAAAAAATTGCACATTTTTTACGTATTAAATATGAAAATATTAGAAACCAGACTATTTGGGTTTAAATGAAAATTTAAATCTATTCAAGTCATGCATAAAAAATCAATTACAAAGAGAATTAGACAAAAGCAACTCGAAAAAAAGCTACCGAGATAAATACAGACATTTTTTAACTAAAAAAAAACACATTTTTTATTTGAATTTCAACGAAAAAATATCTTTTAACTGCCCTAAAGTATATTTATTGCTGGTGTGAATTGGAAGCTGTTGGGTGATCACGAAAATCCCTCCAATGTCTTTCAACAAATTTACGTATATAATTATATGGTTTGGAATCGTGCTCACCTATTACATTCTCTACCTGGAAAAAAAATATTATTTACTAGCTGTGGCACGCGAATTTGCTTTTATATTACTCACAGATAAATTACCTTTCTAACGGTGAAAGAAATTTTAAAATTGTCCCAGTAGTTTTTGAGTTACTTCAATACAAACAATAAATAAAATTCTTTCTTTATAATAGTATAGATTACACAGCGACAATCAACGTTTTTGGTGAAAGAATTATTGAAATTGACCCAGTAGTTTTTGAGTTATCTTAACATACAAAAATACAAATCTTTTCCCATTATAATATCAAGTAAATTACATACTTTGTATGGTGGTGTGATTGTTACTTCATTATAAACTCTGATACTCTGCCCTGCCCAGGACACATCATCTATTACCCGTGCAATTGCCAAGAAAAGACGCTGACCTTCTGGATCCAAGCATGCCGATAATGCTGACACCTGCAATATTAAAAGACTTTCATCAACTTGCCCTTATCCCTTACGGAGGGTCGGCACAGTATGTGCTCTTCCATACATCTCTATCAGTCATATCTGAATACACTCCTTTCTTAAGCATATCCTCTTTCACACAATCCATACATACTATATTCTTTGGTCTTCTTCTACCTTTGTAGCCATCCACATTCATTCTTAACACATTCTGGTTTATGTCCCCATCGTCTCGTCGCATATCATGTCCTCAATTTCTCCACCACTGGCGTATACTTTTAAACTTCCTCTAATATACACATTCTTAACTTTAGCCAATCTTGTCACACCACACATCCATCTTAACATACGCACATTAGCCACATGCAATCTCCTTTCATCCGCAACTTTGGTGGCCCGACATTCAGATCCCTTAAGCTTAAGAGGCATTCTTGGATAACAAGTCACACCAGTAAACTGTCGCCATTTCATCCAACTTGCATTAATTCGGCTTTTCACGTCCCGGTCAACGCCACCGTCGAACTGGACTAGAGAACCAAAGTACTTAATATCGGAGCAGGTTGGTAGAGGCACACCATTAAGGCGATTGGAGGGAAGCTGCTCGGACCGCCAAAATCACAAAATAAATGCTCTGTTTTGCAATATTAAAATACTTTAAAAATTTAAATTAATAAACATCTTTCTCTTTATCCTACTCATGTAGGGCGGAACAGATTTTTGTCCTCCACATAACTCTGTCCGTCTCAGTCACTCCCTTCATCACCTTTCACACAATACATCTCTTTCTATGTATATTGGTGTATCGTAACTAATGTCCTTGTAACATGCGATTCATCTCATAACATGCCCATACCATGTTCTTTTACTCCTTACCTCTACCACTGGGACTCTAAAACTTCTAAGTAAGTTAACATAAAGTTTTATACATAAACTTATTTATGATTGTTAAGTGATAATCTTACTAATATTAATGTGAAAGTTTAGATGGATGGATGTTAGATGTTGTTATTTCCCCTTCCTATGCATCTCCTCCACCGTCAAATCCTCTTCCCAACCTCTCCTTAAAAGAAAAGGGTGGTAAAGAGAAAGGGACTTAAATTAGGCGTTCGGCACCACACTCATCAGACAAAACACGGAATTGCTTTCATTTCACGCCTGTCTTCTGTGTGGTCGTGGTATTACACCGGGTGTGCCCTGCAGTGCTAAGATGTTAAAGCGGGCACTACCACTGTAAAAAAAATAATCTAACAAGTAGCCTGTGTTCTGTCCGACTATTATAAACCTGTGACAATTTTTACCTAGATATATTAAACTGTTTTGGAAAGATATAGTAACAAACATCCAAACTTTCACATTCATAATATTGTAGTTTATCGTTAAAAATGGTGCATTTTTAACATCTTTTATATGTAAATAGCTTAAAATATAACTAAAGCTGTCAACCATGGCTCCATCCGCAATAAAATAAAAAAAGTAGCCTATGTGTTCTTCCAGATTATCCTCTACATCTATAGCAAATATTGACATCCATTCAGTAGTTTAGGCTACAAATTCTAACAAACATGCATCTAAACTTACACATCTTACTAATCTAACTAATATTATAAATGCGAAAGTTTAGATGGATGGATGGATGTTTGTTAGCGTTTGTAGCCTAAACGGCTGAACAGATCTCCATGAAATTAGGCACAGGTTTAGAGCATGGTCTGGTAAAACACATAGGCTACTTTTTATCCTGGGATAAGTTACGGTTTTTTAATGTTTACTTGATCATTCTGCAACGGTTCAACATATCTTATTGAAATTTGGCACAGATGTAAAACAAAGTCTAGAGTATACATGGGATAACCTTCATCTCCGAGAAATGTCCGGTTCCCGGGATACATAGCTTTTTGTTATTTATATAGTTCATATGTTTTCTAATACCACGCCGACGAAGTCGCGGGTAACAGCTCATTTATAATATTAGTAAGATTAGTAAGAAGTAAGATATACATAAACTAACTATTGAGATTCCATAAAATATAGAAACCAGGTTGTTTCTGAATACTTACATTACAATGTACAAATTTTTCTCAATAGCAAAGCTTTAATAAATGTGATAACTAAAATATTCATGAGAGAATTTCATCATTCATTCTGATAATTACTTGCGACTTCGTATGAAAAAACTAAGTAATTAGGCTATGTTCCAGACTATCATCTACATTTGACTATCGAGACACGTTTATTAAAACTTTCGCATTCATAGTAGGATAACTTACCAATCTTCGTTTATTTTCTATAGAATTCCGTACTCTTGTATTCAATCTGTGTAGATTTAACGATTGTGGTGGCTCCGGTACGGTTGTTACTTCCTTTTTTATTTGCACATCGCTCACAAGCGACAGATTAACAATATTAACATCATGTCTCTTTGGATTTCCGCTTGATGAAGGACATTTTAATATTAACATTTTCGTTTGAGGATCAAAAGCCAACACTTCGCCCTCGATCTCTTCATTATAGCAGGTCTTGGTGGCAACTATACTCCCGATGGTAAAACAGTCAGAAACGACTGACGACATTTTAGATTGCAACCTTCGTTGGTTTTTAAAGATTTTGATACTCTCACATGCAGGTTATATGTTGTTATGTAAATAATTCGCGTGCTAAATTATTTTATCTAGGCGACAGCGAATGTCCGCCATTGATGATTGACTTATGAAGTTTTCGCTAGGGTTGGGAGTATCAATCGATTTAGTGTTACGAAAAATCGATTTAAATCGAATTGGTTTGTGTTTGATTTTATGTAGAAAATAGTGCAATACACGTTTCATTTATATAAAAAAGTGGAATTAATGATTATGTGGAAATTAGAAACGAAACAATTCTTTTTCACGACAAAATAATTTTTAATCTGAGTTCTGAGTACGCGTAAGTACACCCGCCAAAGCGAGCTTGGCCAAACAGTATTTTCTAAAATCTCTTTTAATACCCTTTTACTTCGCTGTGGATAAAAAAGAAGGTTGTAAACATCAATAGATGAATCGATATTCAGAAACAATTGTAATTATCGATCAGTTATTTATGTAAATTAAAACGTAAGGTAACAACCCTACATAACTGTAGATTAAAAATTCTGAAACATCTTATTTTCCATTTTCATAACCTTATATTTACTATAATCTTAGCAGATGTGTGTAAAAGAAGAAGAATAAATGTAGCTTGTTTGCAAGAGACGAAATGGAAGGGATCGAAAGCTCGAGAAATTGGAGAAGGATATAA